CAACATAATGTTTTAGATATTCATCTGTGTTATTATTGAGTGTATCATAGTTTTTTTCTTTTATGTTGTTGAATAGTATTCCCCTATGGATATACTATAGTTTATCCATTCTCCTGTTGATAGACATTTATGGTTCCAGGTTGTGGTTGTTATGAATAAGAGTGTTAGTACATTCTTTGATAAGTCTCTTTGTGGACATACATTTTTATGTTTTATTACTCTTAGGTAACTATCCAGAAGTGGAATTGCTTGACCACAGAGTAGATATGTGTGTTTGTTTATAACAAATTGCCAAATTGTTTCCTGCCAGCAACATATGAGTGTTCCAGTTATTCCATATTCTCATCAGCATTTGGTGTCATCCGTCTTTTTTACTTGAGCTATTCTATTAGGTGTTTAAAAGTATCTCATGATTTAATTTACATTTCCCTGATAATTAATGAAAAGGTTTGAATGTACATTCGTGTGTAATTGTCTATTCATGTCTTCTTTTGAAAAACGTCTGTTCAAGTTTTTCCCCCTGATTTTTAATTAGTATGTCTTTTTACCATCTATTTATAGGATTTTTGTTTGTTTGTTTGTTTGTTTATTCTGGATATCAGTCCTCTGTTAGATAATTATTTAGCCAGTATTTTTTTTCCCAGACTGTGGCTTGTCTGTTTACTCTCTTAATGGTATCTTTGATGAGCAGAAAATTTTAAAATTTGATGAAGTTCAGTTTATCCATTTTGTTTCATTATAGTTTGTGCTTTTTGTCAAAGCAGTCCCTGCCAAGGGACAAAGATATTCTCTTGTGTTCCCTTCTAGAAGCTTTGTGGTTCTGTGTTTTACATTTATATCTATGATTCATCTTGAATTGATTTTTGTGTATGTAATGAGATTGGGATTGAGGTTAATTTTTTTCCACATGGACATCCAGTTGTTTCAACATCATTTGTTCTAGATTGTCCTTTCCCAGTTGAACTGCCTTGGCACCTTTGTTGAAAATCAAGTGACTGTATACATATGTTCTAGTTCTAGACTCTTCTGTTCCACTGTCTATTTTTATATATTTATGCCAGTACTACAGTCTTGATTACCATAGCTTTATATTAAGTCATGAAATCATGTAAGTCCTTCAACTATGTACTTTTTGAAGATTCTTTTGCCTGTTCTAGATCCTTTGTTTTTCCATGTAAATATTATCATCATCTTGTCTACTTCTTCAGAGTGGCTCACTGGAATTCTATAGGAATTGCATAAAATTTGTGTATCAGTTTAGGAAAGATGGACATGATCTTCCCATCATGAACATATTATTTCTTTCCATTTCTTTCCATTTTTTTGACCTTGAGGCTATTGCAATTGGTAATTTCTTAAACTTTAATTTTCCAATTGTTTGTTGAAAGATTTGCTGATTTCTTAATTTTGAGTTCCTTGCTTCTAGGTGACTTAAGTTCTTCCAATTCCAGCAAAATGCATTTCAGTTTAGTACTGGTAGCAAATAGAAGTTAAAATAAATGAACTTTGCAACATTGATTTTAGTATAGACCTATTCTGTTAATTAAGAGTATCAATATTTTCTGTATTTGATTGGTGAGTGTTTTCCTCAGAACTCCCTGCTGTTTGTATGATTTAGCTGGCATTTTTCTAAAGTAAGAAAGCTTATGCTATCTTTTTGTGGCTGTTTCTGGCTCCTCAGTTAGTAAGTCAGACCCTGGAACACAGAATGCTATAGATTTTCTGTCTTTCATTTGGTCATTGAGTGAATGAAGTAGAAATAGCTTTGGGCTCTCAACAGTGGGAAAGTTTGGCTAGTGGGATTCAAAGTGAAGAAGAGCAAAGAATAAGCCTTGATGGGACTTGCTGGTGGTGCAGTGGATAAGAATCCTCCTGCCAGTGCAGGGGACACGGGTTCGAGCCCTGGTCCGGGAAGATCCCACGTGCCGTGGAGCATCTAAGCCCATGCGCCACAACTACTGAGCCTGCGTGCCTAGAGCCCGTGCTCTGCAACAAGAGAAGTCACTGCAATGAGAAGCCTGCGCTGCAACCGAGAGTAGACCCTGCTCGCCGCAACTAGAGAAAGCCTGCGTGTAGCAATGAAGACCCAACACAGCCCCCTGAAAAAAAAACCTTAAAAAATAAAATAAAATAAGCCTTGACAACAGAGGAAAATGACTGTGGTCCTTGTGGTGCTAGTGAATGCTTGAGCCTGCCTCTCATGGGAGGGCTCCAGTATAGAAATAGTAGGAAAAATTATCGTTCATTGGGATCAGAGAGTCTTGGAACCTAGTATTAGAGGCTTGATTTTTGTGTGCAATAAAGAATCTTTGCATATTTTAAGTTAAGAATGTGCATAATGGACTTCCCTGGTGGCGCAGTGGTTAAGAATCCATATGCCATGCAGGGGTCACGGGTTGGAGCCCTTGTCTGGGAAGATCCCACATGCCGTGGAGCAACTAAGCCCGTGTGCCACAACTACTGAGCCTGCGCTCCAGAGCCCGTGAGCCACAACTACTGAGCCCTTGTGCCACAACTACTGAAGCGCGCATGCCTAGAGCCCGTGCTCCACAACAAGAGAAGCCACCACAGTGAGAAGCCTGCGCATCGCAACGAAGAGTATCCCCCGCTCACTGCAACTAGAGAAAGCCTGTGTGCAGCAATGAAGACCCAACTTGGCCAAATATATATAAATGTACATAATAATGACACCATTTTATTAATAGACCTTTAATTGAGATATCTTTAGAAGTTGTGTCTGTTATATTCTAGTTTTAAACTGTAGATGTATTTAGATTGTGTATAATTTCTTGTGGCTGCTGGAATAAATTACCACAAACTTGGTGGCTTAAAACAACAGAAATTTATTCTTTCACAATTCTGGAGGCTAGAAGTCCAAAATCAGTATAACTGGGCCAAAATCAAAGTATTGGCTGGGCCACCATTCCTCTAGAGGCTCTAGGGGGAGAGTCCATTCCTTGTCTCTTTTAGCATCTGGTGGCTGCCAGCATTCCTTGGCTTATGGTCTCATCACTCCAGTCTTTAAGGCCAATATTTAAAATCTCTCTGCACAGTCTTCACATCACCTTCCCCTCTGTGTGTCACCTTCCCCTCTGCCTCTTTCTTATAAAAATTCTTTGATTATATTTAGGACCCACCTGCACAGTTCAGGATAATCTTCCCAATCTTTAACTTAATTCACATCTGCAAAGACCCCTTTTCCAAATGAGGTAACGTTTACAGGAACTAGGGATTAGGACCTGATATTTTGGGCAGCTATTATCAGCCTACCACAGAATATTATCTTTTTTAGACCTTCATTTTGTTCTGGAACTTTCTGTCAAAGCAGATTGGACTGAGGATTTTGGTACCCCAAATGACATACTTATTTTCTTGCTATAATTTTCATTTTTTAATTAAAACCTATATCACAGCATAAAATTTATTGCATTCTATTAGCACAACAGAGTAGATCTAAAAGCCTCAGATGGTGAATTACTTATTTAAAATAATAGGAAAATACCAAATTAGGGAAAATGATTGAATTGTGCTTTGACTACCATAGAACTGATACATGACTCAAAATTTAGTGATAGCTTTTAGTTTGGGGCAGCCAGGAACTAATTCTTGGTTTTGTAGGGCTTTCTTGGTCTGGTTGGTATATGATTAGTCCATTGTGTTCTGTTCATTGTACCAACCACTACTGGTTTCTGTAGTGGCCTATTAGAAATTACCTATCTTCTAGTCTGTACTTCCGTGATACAGCTGCTAGATTAGAATGGTTTCTCTGGGGCCTTACTCAATGTTAGCGGCATACTGAGATTGCGTTTTCACATGTAAGTATTGATACATCTTAAATGTATACTAGTGGTGTATTTGAGCATGTTGCATGAAATAACATTGATTCATACCAAACTTGTTATACAGAACTTCTTCACATAGTGTTAGAAGATGGGTTAGGTAGAGAACTTAATGTAGCCTACTCTGTTTTGGCTTTGGTACATTACGTAATATCCTAGCTTTAAGGATTGCTTAAACCTCAGTATGGGAATAACTTTCATGAGCATCATTTGATAAATCATGGCCTAAAAAAGATGAAACAATAAAGCCTAAGTTTCCTTTTCTTCAGTCATTATATTAATGAGCTTAAATATTTAAATATTAATAGCTGATAGATTTGGGCATAGGAGGAGAAGAAAAGAAATAGTTTCCCAGAGGGAAAATGGAAGCCTGATTCTCTTTGTTTGCCCTGTAATCTTTCTCCCAGCATACATGATGTTCATTAGTTCTTCTGGGCAACCAAATATCACAATAGCCTTTGCTCTGCTAGTGAGGATCACCAGCAGTGTGGAGAAAGTTCAGCATGAAAACAAATGTAAGAAAGATTTACTAACCAATTAATTTGTATTCAAATGTTTTGTTGAGTTCTTTAAAATTGTTTCTTACAAATCTGCCCTGAAATAACCATTTTTCAATACAAATTTGTGTTTGGGGATTTGTAACTTTAAAATCTTCAGGGCTGAGCCAGAAGATGAGAAGTGTTTTAATTTAAAGTAATAATTGTGTAATTTCAAAAGAAAAGCTAGTAGTAGTCCATTGTTATGATATCTACAGCCAAGCATATTGTATAAGGAGAGCTTCATACTCTGTACAGAGTTTGTACTCTTCCTCTATCAGGTCCTGCTCGTCTGCATGTACCTATTTCTGTTTGTGTTAGTCATCCTCTCTGGGTAAATTGTCCATGAGACCAGTGATTCCATCAGCAAATTATCCAGAAAATGCTGTTTTTGCACATTGTGGCAGATCATGTCACTGGTGGATTTATAGCCACTCCAGTGCTCTAATTAACCTGGCAGTTGTCTCCGGTGCCCAACACTGTTGTTTCGTTGCTTGGCATCTTAGTTTTCATCTTCTCATTACCTTCTCTCTTAACGAAATCTCAGATTTAGAGGTTTTTTTTTTAACCTATCCCCCCACCCTCTCTACTCATCACCCCACCCCCCCTTGTTTTTGATTGGCAGTATCATCCAGATAAACAAAGTGCAGATGTACCAGCAGGAACAGTGGAGGAATGTATACAGAAGTTCATCGAAGTTGATCAGGCATGGAAAATTCTAGGGAATGAAGAAACAAAAAAAGAGTATGACCTGCAGCGGCGTGGTAGGTACTTGTGGTGAGGAGCCCCAGCACATTGGCAGCTCTGTGAAGCACAGTCTGCAGCCATTTCTGGGGGACACTTTTCAGCATTTGCACCAAGTTGTTATTGCCTCCTTTACTCCTTCCCTCCCGTCACTGTTTTTAATTATGCCCTATTCTTAGTAGTGATTACTATGTATCCATTGAGAAGTCAGCAAAACTACTAGGATGTGGCTTCTTGTGAAGCCATGAAAGCTACTTTTTATAACTAATGAAAAATGCTTAATTACACATTCCTAATTAATATGTTTTTTATGTTTAAAAACTTCTTTTTATTAAATTTAATTATGTACTGATTAAAATTTTCATTGAGTACTTTTAAGACTATATACTGTATAAATGACAATCTATAGGAAGATACTATAAAGGATAACATCTTAAAGCATTCTTTGCTGTCTCTGAACTTGTTTTAGGCTAGGTTTTCATGATTATCTCCTGGATAAACTATATTCTTTGTAAGATTGTTATAAATGATATCTTAGGAACGCACATTTCCTAAGCAATTTTAAAAGTCATTTCTTTTATGCATTTTAGAAAATAGCTTCTTAAAACAGTGACAAGCTCTTGTGAGAAAGAAAGGGACAAATGTAGGTCAGGTTTGTCACACATGGACTGCAGTTACGCGAAGTGATAGGCTGTCTTTCAGCCCTGGCCTTGGGATAGCAGTCCCTCAGCCTTCTATCTGAACCTTCAATATGCACCCTACATGATAATGGGGGGAGTCGATAATCAGCCACAGCCTGTGGGGAAAACACTCAATTGCACTCTGCCATAGCGCACCAGGCTCAGCATTGACTCACATGTGTTGATAAAAGCTCACTGTCTGTGTACTTGATTATTGAATCTCCTCCCATGCCCTGCACCAGTACACGATCAAACCTAACAAAATGATTGTAAGGCTCCTGCTACTAAGGTTATGAAAATTTGATTTGAGAAATAAGGCTTTATTTCTAAGATACAACATTATAGGTTAAAGCCAACAACATATATAGAATATCCATATCTGTTTTCAGAGGGAGTTGTATCAGTAAAATTAAGTCTTTCTTACAGTTAGTGTGTGATTCCTTTGTGGAAAGACTTCATAAGCAATTTGCTTATGTACTGGGGTATTAGTTTTTAATAGTCACTTTCATAATACTAATCATCTCTAAAGCCCTTCTACTTTTTTAAGACTGATGAACTTAACAGTACTTTTTAAAAAATGTTAAGAAACCAATAAATATAACTTTGCAGTGAATTTGGATTAATTTTCAAATATGGCTTGAATACTGGGTCCTCCTTCTATTTGGTGCATTTATATGCATCTTTCCAATGTTGTATTTCTTCTGTAAATTCTTGCACTTCCGGCAAAAGAATGTGGAGGTGGTTTCATTTGAGGATGAATTCTATCCATAGATACATCTTTCTGACCTTGCTTCACATGGTAAAATTTCTGTGAAAGTGTAGAAACTAATAAACATGGATGTGTTGTGTGTGAGAAGTTACCTATGTTTCTAAAGTGACCAAGTTCTACTGTAGATGACAGTCTCTCATGGTGCTTTGCACGTCTTTACCAGTGTTTATTCTGGGGTGCTGATTTGCTTAAGGTGAGGATAATCCACAAAACTGTATCTTAAGGAGTGTAGGGTGTGTACTTGCACTGTCGCTCTGCATTTTTGCCACTCCACAGCTTGGTACTATTAAGAACTTATCAGTGGGCTTCCCTGGTGGCGCAGTGGTTGGGAGTCCGCCTGCCGATGCAGGGGACACGGGTTCGTGCTCCGGTCCGGGAAGATCCCACATGCCGCGGGAGCGGCTGGGCCCGTGAGCCATGGCCGCTGAGCCTGCGCGTCCGGAGTCTGTGCTCCGCAACGGGAGAGGCCACAACAGTGAGAGGAAACCTACTGTCGGACAGAGAAAAGAGGTAGGGAGAGATCAGGAATCAAAAAATATTCTCCCTTGCTAGGGTATTGGGTGAGTAAGACCAGAAATGGGAGAAATAGGAAGCAGGGTTAAAAGTGAGCAGTAGAATTACATGAAGGAGGTTTAAGAGATGTTAGAAGAACAAATAACCAACATCTTCAAGCCTTTCTCATTGCCTTTGAGAAGTCTTTGGAAATGTGGATTTCTTTTGAGCTTTGAATCCTTGGTTTAGAGGTTTTAATGGAAGGAGCTCTAGCCTACTGCATCTCAGGAGATTCTTATAACTCATTGACGAGGTCACAACAAAGTTTAGACAAACCAAATACAGTGAGATTGGGCTTGATTCATGATTCCAATAAATAGGCAGATCTTCTGGGAATTTATATGATGTCTGTCTGCTTTGCATGTTTTTCAGGCGGGTGAGCTTTTCTAGAAGGACAGTAGAAATACAAATTTTCATGACATTTTAGTACCTCAGATCTAAGTACTAAATATTTCCTTCATTACCAGAGGCTCCAAATAGTGAGAATGCTTTGTTTCAGTTTTAAATTGAAATTGGCTTTCTGTTTAGATAAGGAATAGAAGTTTCTTATCCAGATACAACTTGCTGGTTTTAAGCCTTTCATACTAGAGCTATTTCAAAAATCTCATAATAAACCTGGTTTTGTATTGTCATTTCTCTTGATTACCGACATTAATTTTTACTTCTTTACCCATCTTCAATAAATAGCTCCTTGAAAGAAGGAAATGAACTTGAACTTCTAACACTGAGGATTTAGATTTGATAGAAGGAAAAACTTTGAGAGTGATAATTTGTTGAAGACCAGGATAGGTTACCAAGAGAGAGAGTTGTTATAACCAGGTCAAAGCACTCTTTTTTTCTGGGTCAACCCCTGGGGACATGGAAATAGCTTTGTTATACAGAACCCTTTTTGCATGTGGTGATAGTTCATTATAGAACTTTCTTTTCATGGTGTGTGCTTTAAATATGTTTGTTTCCTGCCCTGCATTAACGTATAGTATAAAATAAGTTTGCGTTCTGTATACTTGGAAAGGCGGCAGGAGATGTTTTATTGGCGGATGTTGAACACTTTCTCATATTTCACAGCTCAAAGTTGGTGCTCTTTTGTAAGGAAAGCCTCATAATATTACCTACAACCATTTATTTCTGTAAAAGATCGTTTAAAGGAGCCCTTGAAATCCATATTTTTTGCTTCACAAAAGAATTATCAAAAGCAATAGTCTAGGATAGGTGACCTAAAGTAAAGTACCTGTGTTTTTTCTCCCTCATTTACACTTCTGTATTCTTGGTTGACATTTTAGGGCAGTGTTGGCCAGGCTCATTAGAAAAGCAAACCTAATAAAAGAGTAGTAATATTCAGTTTCTAGATATTATGCATTTTGAAAGCAATGTTAACTAGTGAATTTAATCAGTAAGTTCCAGTTGGACATATTTACCTTATTGTTTGTAAGGGTGCTTCCAGACTGCTTCCCATGTTCCCTTGAAAGGCATGTAGTTTTTCAAGGTTAGGCTTTGCACTTCAGACAACCAGATGAACACTTTGGAAATTCTTTTTAGGATTTATAAAATGTTCATATGAATAATATCTATTGAATAGATTTTTGTGCCTTTATAATTCTTGTGGGGAGTTTTCTCATACATTAAGTGCATTTAAAAACATGTCAGAAGTATATCATGAAAAGAATAGGAATCGTGATTCAATAGCTTTGTAGTGTGAGTCATACAGATCTCTGATGTCTAGGTGGCTGTATGGAGTGACACAGCTTATGAGTTAGGTTACTTCACTGTGATCTGAAGAGGAACAGACCTTCAAATGAAGTCAGTCAAATTAAATTATGTTGTAAAAACATAAGTGGATTGTGTCTGGAGTCCTTGCTGGTATATTGTCTTATATTAAGATGTACCTTGTTTCTCTGTTAGTGAATTATTTTGGTGATGTGGCGCCTTCATGCTACACAATTGGCCAAGTGCTTGGATACCCAAGACAGCTGGGCTCTGAAGAGGCTTGAGCCAAACGTTGTAAAGTTAGTGTCTTTACTTAAAGCTAATCAGCTATACTCTCCTTACCTAGATACAAAAGGTCGTTTCAGTTGTTGTATTATACAGTTCACTCCATCCCTTTATTAGGATAAATATTTGAGAATGGGAGATAAATAAGTAAATCTTGGACCAGATGAGGAACGTACCTTAAAACCCCACCAACATTTATGTGTCAGAGAACTGAATCAACATGTAATTTCTTAAATTTAAAATAAAAGTACTTGTTGAAAAGCAAGTTAACACTAAAGACTGATTAACTCCATAAAAAGCGAATTAATACTTTTAAATGTAGGTAATATGAATTTGGGTTATCTGTTTCAAATAATGACTTAAGGCCAGTGGATGTTTGTGTAAATTATGTGCTAAAACTGACCCTTATAAAATACTTGTATTAGTCAGATTAGGGTTTCCATTTATGGTCATATCCGTTTTTCCATTTGATTTTAGGAATTTGAAAATTGGCCATAAAAATGTGCTTCAGGTAAAACTTGAAGATAAGCATCAGGGGGCATGTTTTTTTGGTGACTGTTTCTGGGAAAAGTAAGTATGTGAAATGATGCAGAAAATCCATCTAGACAGTTAGGGACTTGCATTTCTTCAGAGAGGGAAGATAATATAGATAAAACTTTCTGTGAGGGTCCTCTTGCTTCATCTTCTTTGTCATAAGAAGGTGACTGCTCGCATTATTTGTTACTTTTACTTGAATACAAATGACTGCTTTTGCAATGACAATGTATTTTAAGATCATTTCTCAATGATTTTGAATAAAAATTTGGCTAGTTTCAAATGCTATAGAAACCTACGGGCAAGATTATAGTTATAATCCTGTAATACTTGGACATAATTGGAAGTTTTGATTTAATAACAGAGAAAATGTAGGATTTTAGGAAGTTTGTGTCTCCATCTTTATCCTGTTGCCCAATTTCTACTCGGGTACTTGACCCGACTGAAATCAATGGGTTCAAAACCAAGACTGGGTCCACCTTTCTCATTGCTTGTT